AAATTTGTTGCACCACTGGATGTAACCCATTCAAGTTAATCGGGCTGTGCTGCAATCCATGCTCAATGCACACAGCTGCAGCACAGTGGTTCAGGCTTACAGGGTTAAAATATGTGGTGAGGAAGCGACATGTCGCCTCCCAGCTGCTTGTCAAATGCTCGCTGAAAAGCTATCAACCATGGATCACTTTTCAGAGGGGCGGCAAGGGCGGCCGCTGTGTAAATATACCATTATGTGTATAGCTTTGTATTGTAATGAATGCATATTCATCTTTTCATTGTAAGCATTATGCTACTGGTTCATAAATAATAATCTTTCAAAAACGGACATTATTAGTCCTCCAAAGGCCCCTTTCACATGGGGCAGGCTTTGTTTAGATCAGCAGAGGATCTGTCTGCTGATCAGAGCATAGTGGGCGGATGACCGGTCCATGTCCTCTCTATGCAGAGTGGAAATTGGACAGAGCCTGCTGTGCTCTATGGGTAGTCCGGTGTAAACGGACAGCCAATGCCCTCCAATTTGATCTAAATAGACGGAGGGGAATGGATCCCACTTCCTCTGCTTTTTTTTTTTCTTTTTCCCATTTTAAATTTTTTTTAGCAGACCGAATTGGATTGGAGGTAGGTGGATGTAGACTGACACAAGTCTGTTTACACCCACCGGTCCATAAGAGTGAATGGAGGGTCTGATTAGGTCCACTTGAAAAACGGACAGGCGGACCTATCGGACTCTTCATGCTAAAGACTAGGATAACATTAAAAAAAAAAAAAAAAAATCACGTATTTTTCAATTTACAGTGGGCATAGAAAAGAAACAATTTTTGTTGCTTTGCAGCCTGAAATAAAGACAACAGTTTTTGTTTTTATCCAGCTGTATTTACTCAGTGCAACTTATAACATCCAAGTGAAAGATTTAACGCCAACATGTCAGAATAAAATAAAAATAAATAAAAAAGCAGAATCACTGAGTTGGAAAAAGAATTGCCCCCTTGAATTGGTATGTTGTTGCACTACCTTTTTGCTTTAATTCCAGCCTTTAGTCTGTCAGGATATGTTTTTACTAACTTTGCACACCTAGATTTTGCTGATCACAGTTGAAAGTCATTTTTAGGAGGAGGGTGATCCTTTTTCCAACTCAGTGATTCTGTTTTTGATTTTTTTTTTTCTTAATTTTTGTGACATGGTGTTCAGAAACAATATAGTATAGTTTTAATATAGTATAAAAACAATTCATCTAATGATATTTCCAAATTAACCGTTAAAGTGCAGTAGTGCCACACTCCTCATTTCGCTAGAATAATTAGTGAATACCAAAAAATGTGCTATGATTCAATCAAACCTAAATTAATAAAATTACTATACTATAAAAAAAATGAAAAAAAATTCATATTATTTCCAAAGTCAATTTCATAAGTTTCCATAAAGTGCTCCTCTTGAAAACAAGTGCTCTTCAAATTTTGAATCTTAATATGCGCTTACCTCAAACTGCACCACTGCACTTTAACAAGGCACTACTGCACTTTAACAAGGCACTACTGCACTTTAACAAGGCACTACTGCACTTTAACAAGGCACTACTGCACTTTAACAAGGCACTACTGCACTTTAACAAGGCACTACTGCACTTTAACAAGGCACTACTGCACTTTAACAAGGCACTACTGCACACTTGCACTTTAACAAGGCACTACTGCACTTTAAACAAGGCACTACTGCACTTTAACAAGGCACTACTGCACTTTTAACTGTTGGTGTTCTGTATTTCACTTGGATGTTATAAGTTGCACTGAGCAATACAGCTGGATAAAACAAAAACTGTGTCTGTCTTCATTTCAGGTTGCAAAGCGACACAATGTGATTATTTTAAAGGGGGGTGATTCTTTTCTATACCCACTGTAGTGTGGTGGTTGTTTCAAGATGTTGCTGGCACTGCAGAGTTATGATGTGCCTGACCACCTGTATGATACAAGCCTTGGGCTCATTGAGTAATCGCTATTGCCTCATTTAGGAGAATTCAAAACATAGCAGCTGAGCGTTCTCTGTACTTGTTCTGTTTATTAGGTGATCATCTTTCATGTGTTTGTGTCCTGAAATACTGAACTGTCACTCACCACGTGGTGGGTCAGGTTTATGGTTCCAGCACATAGTTTATCTGTTTTTACTTTGCTTCAGCATTTCAAAAGGGAATTCTACTAATGTTTGAGGGTAGGTGAGGTGTAGTATGGAAATAATTAAAGCGTCACTCCGCTTTTTTGAAAAGACAAAAAACAACCCTCTCTGGGTGATCAAAATACTTTTTTTTTTGCTCTGAATAGCAACAATAGCTGTTGTTTCCTCATGTCCTTTGCAGACTGAGAGTTCATTCAGCGGGTGCTGACACCTATACTGTGGGCAGGCTCCTTTTTATTGAGCTTCAGGCTGCACGCAGTCAGGTGAACGCAGGCGCAGTGGCTGCACAGACACAGCTGCATATCAACATTTGACATGGGAGCAGGAGTGGTAGCATGGATCTCTACGCACACTGTCTCACATTTTGCCACGAGGCTGTTTCCATGCATTCACTGCATCTGCATTCACTTCTTTAGGATGCCTGCTCGCAGCCTGGGGCAGATGCAGGGGCAATACCAAAGGTAGCCTGCATGCAGGACAGGTGTCAGCACCTGATTTTGAATGGGAGGATCTGGTTCTTTATAATCATCTGGTGCCCTCTCAGTGTTCTAATGAGAAAAGGCTGCACTCTGTATCCCTTTGGAAGTGTAATCCTTGGGAAGTATCTTGCTAAAACAGAATTTCTATTGTAGTGGGTGACAACAATTTGACTTTGTTTTTTACGTGAAATCTGCTTAAAACACGTGAGCCAACCACACAAGCAGCAAAGACATTTCTTACCATATTATAGTGCATTTTACAGTAAATTACAGAGGCTGCAGATTGAAAAGGAAAGGCAATTTTAATAACATTAAATTACAACATGGCTTCTGTAGCAGCTGCATGGGCTATAGGATTTGTTTTTAATTCCCTATATTTTTCATCTTTAAGTTTGTCCCCCTTCATCCATCTTTTCAAAACCAAGTTCTGCATATTTCTAAATATTTTTTTCTTTGTTTTTTTATAGGAACAGGTAGATGGATTTTTATTGTGGCTTTAAGGCCTCATTCACCATATTCAAAGTACTAAAACTAGAAAGTCTGTAATACAGCAAGCCAACTAGCATTAGAGAGGGGGTTCAACAATGGCATTTTTTTTTTTTTTTTTTACATACTTTAACATAGTGAAATGCCCTCCATATATTACCAGGCTTTGGTCACCTTTGATGAGGTTGAACTGTGCTGCTAACTGTTCCTTTTCTCCTTGATGGAGAGGCAGCTGTACCTGAAGACCTGCAGTGCAAGGATCTTCCTGAATCAGCTGCATTCATTTTGTACATCTGTGCTGTTCTTCCTCCACCTCTCCTGCTGATTCTTTTATATCCTTCCACCAGTCATAGATCATAAGTCATCAGGGCACAGTGCTGATACAAAAAAGCAAAGCCTTGCTCCTCTACCAAGATAAAGTCTCCACACAGACACAAGGCATTAATGCCAAAGTGCAGCCAAATAAAGAGAAAAATCAGCACAAGGGACATAACTTAGTAGGATGTGTTCTTTGTGCTGATGCCTGTTCTTGTAGTTGAAATCCTCCTCTGTCCATCCCCCCCCCCCCCCCCCCCCCCTTTGCTCCTTGCTGCCATAATATTCTGCTACCACGGGGTTAATAGAACTAAGGGAATGTGATCAAGAGAGCCCGACTATGCCTGTCCTTTCCACCCAGTTCCACTATTTATAGAAGTCATCCTACAGTTTCTAAAAATGAAACCGTAATGGAGGGGGAAAACCTATCAATCGGTCATCCGCCTGTTTCATTCACAGAAGCGGTAGTATGGCTTCTATGAATGGAGCAGCTGGGTGGAATGGGCGGGCATAGTCAGGCTCTCCTAATTACAGCTGCTAAGGTCTATTAACCCTTGCCGCACAAGAAGATTGTGGTGGTAAGGGGGCAGTGGTCTGACAGGTGGGGGGGGGGGGGGATGGAGGTGTATGGATGGAGGATTTCAACTAAAAAGGTATCCGCACAAAAAAAAAAACATCTGACGGACTGTAAATTAAGTCCCTTGTGCTGATGTTTCTGTGCCTATAATTTGGTTGCACTAGACTTGACTTTAAAGTCAGTAATGGGGAAAGATCAGCTGCTGGGAGCCTACAGACAATACTGGTGGCTCATATTTTGCCCTAGGCTGCCCACAGGCACAGCTTCCATAGTTCAGGTCCTCCTTAAAGTGGTTGGCAACCTCCAGATACGAAACCTGAACAAAGCACTTCATTTTATACTGTGTACTTACCACTCTCTAAAGCACTGACTGACTGTGATTTCTGTCTCTTCTCTCTTTAATCTACTGTCTGCATGAGTCACTTTTCACAGATTTTTGCGAAACCAAGAGCTAAAAAGGTTGGGAGGGAGCTCCACCACACAGCCTGTGATTCATATTCATAGCTCTGCAGGTTCTCTTGTGTACTGTGTGTGGAGGGGGAGGGGGGTTGTCCCTTATCTCCAATCATGGCTCAGAGCTCCTGTCACGGAGATCTGCACTGAGAGGAGCCGCCAGAGCTGAGAAAAAAAAATCTGTGTGTTTTTAGAACAGTCTACAGAAGATGGCTGCAGATAAACGGGTACAACTTATGTAGGAGGATTTGTTTCATCTCTGTGTATCACCTGAGGCAAGTTGCTTCACTGCCTATATTTTAAGGGTTTACAACCACTTTAAGTTGATGTACATAACACCACCATATACTGCATTTCTATCATCTTTAATTCCTCTGAATTGTGGGATCTGCATTTTGTCTGACATTGACCTATCTTACAGTATTTATCCATACTAGCTGGTGGGCTTGATGATTGAAACCTTCTCATGTTTGCTTTTCCATTTCATGACTTTGCTTTTTTTGTCTCCATTTCCATATTCAGTTCATATCGGCAAGGCTTGTCCTCCACTAAAACAGTTGTGCTTAATGTTTTACGTAGGTGGTAAGGACACATTTGTTTCCTCTGTTTGTTGGTTTTGCTGCTACAGATTGGCTGGTATTTTTTGCATGTTTAATTCAAATAAAACTCCTGTAACAGATGACTTCTTGGCACCGTCGCCTGTACAGACTGTGTTTGGCATGTGATTTATTTGAAAATGGCAGAAGGCTAACGCCTATTAACATGTATGTTACACTAGAGCACTGTGAATGTTTGACACTATGCATCACTGGAGTCCTCACACTAATGTCCTAACCAGAAAGGGAAGATGTACTGTGCACCCAGATCCTTTATATCAGTGGTTCTCAACCTGTGGGTTGTGACCCCTTTGGGGGTCGAACGACCCTTTCACAGGGGTCACCTAAGACCATCGGAAAACACATATTTCCGATATGTAAAGCGCAGCTGCTGTGTTGAAAGCAGCTGCTGTGTTGAAAGCAGCTGCTGTGTTGAAAGCAGCTGCTGTGTTGAAAGCAGCTGCTGTGTTGAAAGCAGCTACTGTGTTGAAAGCAGCAGTATTGGAGGTAAAACGACACTCATGAATTATAATTACTGGGTAAATAATTTTATGACTGGGGGTCACCACAACATAAAGAACTGTATTAAAGGGTCGCAGCATTAGGAAGGTTGAGAACCACTGCTTTTATATCTTGTTGTGGCATTCACCCTTCACCATGGTTGGCCGCCAAGAACACCTGCCTTCACAAACTATGTGTTAAAAAGAACTCCCTTTCCCCAACTGCATAGCAGGTATCCCTTATGCTGTAACTTATCTTTAGTTTCCCTGTCCGCTGCACTGATCTGCAGCACTGACTCAACAAATGGTACACCAGACCCTGTGTGACGTGGGATCAATTTATCGATGGGATATCGCAAACCATGTTGGATCCAAGTTTTTGTAAAAGCAGAATATTGTACTCTATTATCTATTGATGGAAGCAGAAATACTGCGGTTGTTAGAATTTGCTAATTCCATAGGTTTGAAATTAAATTTAATTTAACATGTCATATAGCCAATGACCACCTCCATGTATACTTATTATTGCCAGTATGAACCTATTAATTATAATTACAGTGACTAAATGGTTAGCATTTCCACCTGACAGTACTAGGGTCCTCGGTTCGAATCCCAACCATGGCACCACCTGCCTGGAGTTTGCATGTTCTCCCTGTGCCTGTGTGGGTTTCCTCCGGGTACTCTGGTTTCCTCACACACTCCAAATACATGCCGGTAGGTTAACCATTAGCCGCCCGGCCAATGGCCGTTTGGCAGCTTCAAAAGTGTTGCTGCATTCCGGGTGCATGCCATTTGGCGTGCTCCCGCACATGCGCAGTTTGCGCTAATGCAGAGTGGCGCAGCAGCGCGATCTGTCACCGGGCCGTGTACCTCGGACACGGCCGATGACAGATCCGAGTACCGGCTCCCGTTGCTGGTACCATGTGACCTGCTGTGACCAATCACAGCAGGTCACATGACAGTTGTATACAATGGATGGCTTCATTCATGCCATCCATTGTATACTACTACCTAGCTGTGAATGGTCACAGCTAATCACATGCACATGTCATGTGATTAGCTGTGACCAAATCACAGCTAAGCACAAAAAAAAAAAAAAACCTGAATGAATCGATTTCATTCAGGTAAATGCTTGCTTATAGCAAAGTAATTCTTTGCTATAAGGAAATTGTGTATAAAAAAAAAAAAAAAAAAATACTGATCACTTCCCCAAAGTAGTACAATGTTACTATGGTAACATTGTACTACTATGGTCATAGTAAAATATGAAAAAAAAATCTTAAAAAAAAATGTAATAAAAAATAAAAAAATATATATATTTTTTTTTTTCATACTGTCACCAGTCAGTGTCCCTGTTCACCGCCATGCCAGTTATATGATGACGCTGTACTGCACTGGTGACAGTATGTAAAAAAAAAAATTGTGAAAATAATTTTTTTTTAATTTTTTTCATTTTCCAAAAAATTATGACAAAAAAAAAAATACAACTTCAAAAAACTCACCATGCCTCTTATGAAGTACGTCGGACTGTCTACTCTGCAAAAAGGGGTCATTTGGGGATATCTGTACTGTTCTGACATTCTTGGACCTCAAGAAATTAGATTGGCTGTCAGTACTTCAGGATTGATCAATATTCAGATCTATACCATAGTTTGTGAACTCTATAACTTTCCTACAAACTAAATAATGCATCCTAATTTGGGTTATTTTCACCAAAGACATGTAGCAGAATACATCTCGGCCTAAATTTATGAAGAACAATTTTATTTGTAAACTTTTATAACAGAAACAAAGAAAAATGTGTTTTTTTTTTTCAAAATTTTTGGTCTTTTTTTGTTAATTTAGCAAAAAATAAAAACCCCAGCGGTGATTAAATACTACCAAAAGAAAGCTCTAGTTGTGTGAAGAAAATAATAAAATTTTAGTTTGGGTACATTGTTGTATGACCGCGCAATTGTCATTCAAAGTGTGAGAGCGCTGAAACCTGGGCAGGAAGGTGTAAAATTGCATGGTATTGAAATGGTTAATTGGCTCCTGTCTAAATTGGCCCTAGTATGTGTATGTATGAATGTGAGTTAAGGAGCTTAGATTGTACGGCCCTTAAGGGTTAGGGACTGATGTAAATGTACTATGTGTGTGTAATATATATATATATATATAAGCACTGCGTAAATTAAAATTGTATATAAAATCTTAATGGCTCATTTAAACCGTCGTGTTGAGGTAGTGTGCATTACCACGACGTACATTAATACGTCAAGCATGGTGCAGGGGAACTCCAGGCACAGAGCTTTTTGTAATTTCTGGTGTGCTGGGCATAAAGATACCTCTTATCAGGGCCACCGATATGGGGGTAGCAGCAGCCCTCTTGTACAGGGCCCGGGCCTCATCAGTTCAAGAGGGTGGCCCTGGAAGCTTTATTGTGTAGGCAGTTCCAAAAGCTACTATTCACAGCTCAGCGCTCTCCACCACCCTTTCCCCTGCAGCTCATCCAGTCTCTTCTCCTCTTCCTCCAGCTGGCTGTCAGCTGCAGAGAAAGCCGCAGGAGGATTGGTTTCAGGGATTGACCACTCTGATCACCGCCTCTCCTGTCCATAAGATCCAATATCCCTGACACCCCCACTCTGCAGTGTTTAGCGGCCCCTTTCTTTCCTGAATGAGTGATCGGTACTGATCGCCCCTGTGTTTACTATGCTTCACTTTGTGAAGGAGGAGCTTCTGTACAGAACATCCCTGTTCATTCATTCTGCAGTACAGTTGAGTTCACAGAGAAAGGATCGGTGATTTGTGTCCTCATCTCTTTCTATGTCTCATAAAGGAGTCTGGTTTAGACCTGGGAATCTCACCAAGGCTTCTCCAGCCACAGGACTGTTAAAAAATGAAAAAAAAATAAAACAAAATTGAAATAATGTAAAAAAAAAAATAATGAGGGTCTCATTCTCTCAGATACTCTGGCCATGTGAATGAGTGGCTTGTTCATGCGGACAGAGCCTTGTTAGGGGCCATACACCTGCATCCACATATCCAGGCTGGAGGAGGTCCCTGCCTCTGATTGAGGTATATGCCACATCAGAATCACTGCACTGTACATTAAAATGTGTAATTTTCTTAAAGCTGAACTCTGGGCAAAATAATACAAATATGTCCTCAAAAGGCATAAATGATACAAATCCACTTTGTGTGCACCAAATGCTTTTACAATCCCAGATATTACCTTGTAAGTGTAGCAGTGACATCATCACTGTGCTATTCATAGGCTGAGCAGAGCTGTGGGAGGAGCTCAGCAGGCTCCATCCAATACAGGCTTCCTGCAGAAAACTACAGAAGGGGGAGGAGGAGACCAAACCAGTCCCCGTACACAGTGAGATTGAGCGGTCTTTATTACAGGAAGCTCCTGCACAGAGGTAGTTTCACACTGGATTACTGCACAGTGAAGTGTCTAGAGGTGAGGGTGGAGGATACAGATAACAGAAACAGCCGCAACAACCTCTGTATACTGGGTCTCCCCCAAAGGGGGGGTGGAGGGTCCAGAATCCAAAATGTTCCCTGAGTGACTGCTAAAAACCACCCTCCCACAGGCGTGATTCCCAGGATTCCTAGTGGTCAAGAGGGCTCACTGGATGCCAGCTGCATGGGGTCCCCTGGCACCCCACCAGGGGTGGACTGACAACTCATGGGGCCCCCGGGCAATAGGGGAACATGGGGCCCCTGTGTCCTTGCCCAAACTCAAAAAAGCCTATGAAAAAGGTACCAGGGGCATCTCATTGGGCCCCCTACTGACCCCGGGCCCTCGGGCAGGTCCCGAGTTTCCAAATGGTCAGTCTGCCCCTGCACCCCACCACACTTTTGTATTCTGAAACTCCTCAACTTTAAAGACTGCAACCTAGTCTTTGGGAGGTGAGGCTGCAAAGGAGAACTCTGCCACGAGAACGCTAAGCTTTTTATATTTTCCGACTACTCTATCAAGACACAGATCCTCTGGAGATCTTTAGTTGGAGTGAAGGCCAAGATCTGGTTCAAGGATGTTCTATACAACATGGTCTTCCTGGCCAATCTACATGTTCAATCAAGATGGAGAATACCCAGACTTGTATTTTCACAATTTTTGCTTTGAGTTTAGCTCTATTGCTGGATCGTACATTTCCTGCTGTTCTTCTGGCCTGCTATGGATATGAAAGCTGAGGCTCTCGTAGATGGATGTAATGGTGTCCTTTTATCCAGTCCTCTCTCCTTTTCTCCTTGGCCATTCACCAGACACTCTGTTTTTACCAAGGGTAGATGGGAGGTGAAGGAACGGCGCTAGCACTTCCATCTATGAGAGCCCTAGCTTTTGTTTTTTTTTTTCATTCACACCAGGCTGGAAGTACAGCAGAAGCTGTGTTATCCGGCATGAAGATGGGTATAAATTGCAGTGATCCCATCATGGCATACCCCTTAGCTGGGTACTTTTTTCTTTTACAGACCAGAAATTACAAAATGTTTTGTG